AGTTATAGGTTGAGGGTATTTTTGCCTTATCACATAAGTTTAGGGGGTCTCACAGATTAAAACTGAAATTTGGGTGTAGGCAAAAATCATTAAAGTCAATTGGGTTTAGTTCAAAATATTTTCTATTCAAGTGGGTATTGCATATTTCCCCTTTCCCAAAAGGTAACTGATGATGCTAAAATGTAGCTCACCTAGGGTAGTGTAGAAAACGAACTGGGAGAGCAAAGCAGATCAGTAGCTTGACAACTTGATGATCCTGAGGTACCTGCGAAATGAACACACGTGAACTACGCCGGGGGTTGATCCGGCGGAAACCCCTCCGACGCTCAAGTCAGACGTGCTGATCATAGAAATAGTCCAGAGAATACGTATTGTAGTATTGCTCAGTTAATAGGACGTACCTTAATAAAATGAGTAAAACCTCTATTTATATGTCGTTTATTGGGTTGGGTTTGCTTTGTTGGGCCCAAGCCTTACTTGAAGGTGTTTGGGCCTCGGTGATATTGATCTTCGATATTGGGCTCGTAGCCCAGTAGGTAAAGAAATTGTAGGCCCATTGGGTTGGCCCAATTAGGCATATCATTAAGCCCCCCACTCTCGAGTCGATGTGGGGGCCATGTTGTGATGGGTCTCAGATCGTGTCGAGAGTAAAAATTGTAGAAGTCGATCGTTGGCGTATGGCCTAATGGTATGCGAAAACGCGTTGGAGCGTGTGTCGGAGGGGTGTGAATGCGCGTTGGCGCATAGCGCGACAAAGTTGCCGCGATATAAATTAATTGAGTCGTCGGTTTTGTCCCGCGACGATGTAGTAGCGATTTATCTCCTCGTGGGAGTTATCTTGCCGCGGGGTAATAGTGTTGATCGAGTTATCTCCTCGTGGGAGTTGTCTCGCGATAATGTAGTAGCACGGATCAAGTAATTTCCTCGTGGGAGTTGTCTCTGGGGTAATCGAGTTGATCGAGTTACGTCTTCGTGGAAGTTGTCTCCTGATAATGTAGTAGCACGGAGCTAGTATTCTCCTCGTGGGAGTTGTTATTTTTCGACATTTTCAATGTTTTGACGCGTTGCTCGTATGTGTTTACATATAGTCTTCTGCGTGATGTACTTGATGAGGGGATCAGGCTCTCAAGATTTTTTTTTTATATGGGGGTCGTGCCCCTTGTTAGACCTCGTGGGTCTTAAGTATGTTTGGACCGTGGCCACGTTTTAATGAATGACCCATAGAAAACAAGTAGATAAATTTGAGTAATCAAGCTGGCCAGGCTATATAGATTCTCATAATATCTCTAAGTGCTTCTAGGGTTGTAATCGTGCTAACTTGAGCTTGCGATTATATGGTGAATTTCGGGCGAGTTGTCTCCTCATGGGAGTTGTCTCGCGGTGAGTAATATTATCGAGCGAGGTGGTTGCACGTGAGAGTTATCTTGCAACGGATTTGTAGTGTCGAGCGAGTTGACTCCTCGTGGGAGTTGTCTCGCTGCGGGTTGTAGTATCGAGCGAGTTTGCTCTTCGAGAGAGTTGTCTTGAGCGAAGTTGTAGGAGCATTGGATGATGCGCGATTTAGGCGCGTGTGGATTGAGGTTGCTCTGAGCGAGTTGTCTCCTCGTGGGGGTTGTTTCGCAGCGAGTCTTATTATCGAGCGAGGTGGTTGCACGTGGGAGTTGCCTTGCAACGGATTTGTAATATCGAGCGAGTTAGTTCCTCGTGGGAGTTGTCCCGCTGCGGGTTGGGGTACCGAGCGAGTTGTCTCCTCGTGGGAGTTATCTCGCTGTAGGTTGTAGTACCGAGCGAGTTGGCTCCTCGTGGGAGTAATCTCGCTGCGGATCATAGGATGGAGCGAGTGGTCTCCTCGTAGGAGTTATCTCGCTGTGGGTTCGTAGGACCGAGCGAGTTGGCTCCTCGTGGGAGTTTCCTCGCTGCGGGTCGTAGGATGGAGCGAGTGGTCTCCTCATAGGAGTTATCTCGCTGTGGGTTCGTAGGACCGAGCGAGTTGGCTCCTCGTGGGAGTTTCCTCGCTGCGGGTCGTAGGATGGAGCGAGTGGTCTCCTCGTAGGAGTTATCTCGCTGTGGGTTCGTAGGACCGAGCGAGTTGGCTCCTCGTGGGAGTTTCCTCGCTGCGGGTCGTAGGATGGAGCGAGTGGTCTCCTCGTAGGAGTTATCTCGCTGTGGGTTCGTAGGACCGAGCGAGTTGGCTCCTCGTGGGAGTTTCCTCGCTGCGGGTCGTAGGATGGAGCGAGTGGTCTCCTCGTAGGAGTTGTCTCGCTATGGGTTCGTAGGACCGAGCGAGTTGGCTCCTCGTGGGAGTTGCCTCGCAACGGGCTGTAGGATTGAGCGAGTGGACTCCTCGTGGGAGTTGTCTCGCTGTAGTTTTGAGACTAGAGGGGGTTAGCTCCTCGTGGGAGTTGTCCCACAACGGGCTATAGGACGGAGTGAATGGTCTCCTCGTGGGAGTTATCTCGCTATGGTTTCGTAGATCCGAGGGAGTTGGCTCCTCGTGGGAGTTGTCTCGCAACGAGTGTGTAGGGCCGAGCGAGTTTGCTCCTCGTGGGAGTTATCTCGCTATGGCGTTGAGACCCGAGGGAGTTGGCTCATCGTGGGAGTTGTCTCGCAACGGGTTATAGGACAGAGCGAGTAGTCTCCTCGTGGGAGTTAACTCGCTATGGTTTCGTAGGGAGTTGTCTCGCAAGCCCCCCACTCTCGAGACGATGTGGGAGCCAAGTCGAAAGGGGTACCGGGTCGTATTGAGAGTAGATCGGTGCTGTTGTCTAGCGTTAATCGTTGGCATGGGGTGGAGAAATAATTTTTTTTTTTATTTTCCATTTGATAACGAACGTATTTAGTAGGTGCGTTAAAGAGCTCGCGGAATGTGGTGGAGCGTGTTGAAATTCTCGAGCGATTTGGAGAAGCGAGTCAAAATCTATGCGCAATTTGGTGGAGGACGGTGAAAGTTGAGCGCGATTTGATGGGAGCAAGCAGTCCAAGGCTCCTTGGAAAGTGCGCGCGCGCGCTCCAATAATTTTTTTTTTTCTTTTTTTTTTTTTTTTTTTTTTTTTTTTTATTTTCTGACGCTGACGCAGGTGCGCGTCAGGCGCGTGTCGTCCACGCACGCGTGCGATGCACGCGCGCCTCTTCTCCCCTTTTTTTTTTTTTTTTTTTTTTTTTTTTTTTTTTTTTTTTCTGACGCTGACGCAGGCGCGCGTCAGCTAGCGCGCGTCAGGCGCGTGTCGTCCACGCGCGCGTGCGGTGCAACGCGCGCCTCTTCTCCCTTTTTTTTTTTTTTTTTTTTTTTTTTTTTAGTAGGGAGATTATACTCGTCTCTTGAGATGTGATGTGAACCCCTTGGGGTTGAAAGGTATGGACGATGCTCAACCTTGGGATGGAGATATCTGCCCACTGTAGGATGAGGCGCTCTAGGTGGATGCGCACGGTTATGCTATTGGTTCGCGCGTGTGCGTCAGACCATTTTTCTGTTTTTGAAGTAGGGACGTGAAACACTTGATGGGATGTGAAACCCCTTGGGGTTGAAAGGTAAGTGGATGTACCACCCTTGAGACGAGATGCCCAACTTTAGGATGGGATAGCCCCCATTTAGGATGAGGCGATCACAAACCACTGGGGTGAGATGCCCAACCTTGGCGATATATGGTGCCACTGATTCAGTGGCAATACGAGTTGAATCTTCCGTGATCATACGCTGAAGGTCTTCTTCGGTTATCTGAACCGTTCGAGAAATAAGTAGAAATTGATCAAGTTGAGGACCCAGTGGGGCCTCACGAGGAGGAGCGTTGGCTCCTGCTATGACAAATGAAATGTTTTGGGGGCGATGTGAACCCCCAGGGAGTCGATCACCCTTGGCGAACGAAATATTTTGGGGGCAGATGTAAGCCCCCAGGGAGTCGATAACCCTTGGCGAACAAAATATTTTGGGGGCAGATGTAGGCCCCCAGGGAGTCGATAACCCTTGGCGAACGAAATATTTTTGGGGCGATGTAAGCCCCAGGGAGTCGATAACCTTTGGCGAGCGAAATATTTTGGGGGCAGATGTAAGCCCCCGGGAGTCGATAACCCTTGGCGAGCGAAATATTTTGGGGGCAGATGTAATCCCCCAGGGAGTCGATAACCCTTGGCGAAAGAAATATTTTGGGGGCGATGTAAGCCCCCATGGAGTCGATGGCGGTGGTGCCATAGGTGGCTCCACATGTGGAGCAGGTGCTGGTATCGCGTTGGGAGCATCTGCTCCCATCGTGGCGATATATTGGGTCACGGCCTCTGTGACAGCGCGAGTTGAAGCTTCTGTTATCATGCGTTGAAGCGCATCCTCGGTTATTTGAACCATTCGAGGAGCAGGGAGTGGTGGATGGGCGAGTGGTGGGTCCCGAGGGGGGATCACCTGAACCTCGCGAGGCGGATCCATGGGATGTGGAGGAGGTGGCAAGCCAGAGCCTCCACGAGGTGGGAGGTCGTTAGCTGTGTCATTTTCTCTCAGAGCAGACGCCTCAGGAGGATCTTGTTGGCTACGTGATCTGGTTTGCATCGTTCCCACAGACGGCGCCAAAATGATGATGCTAAAATATAGCTCACCTAGGGTAGTGTAGAAAACGAACTGGGAGAGCAAAGCAGATCAGTAGCTTGACAACTTGATGATCCTGAGGTACCTGCGAAATGAACACACGTGAACTACGCCGGGGGTTGATCCGGCGGAAACCCCTCCGACGCTCAAGTCAGACGTGCTGATCATAGAAATAGTCCAGAGAATACGTATTGTAGTATTGCTCAGTTAATAGGACGTACCTTAATAAAATGAGTAAAACCTCTATTTATATGTCGTTTATTGGGTTGGGTTTGCTTTGTTGGGCCCAAGCCTTACTTGAAGGTGTTTGGGCCTCGGTGATATTGATCTTCGATATTGGGCTCGTAGCCCAGTAGGTAAAGAAATTGTAGGCCCATTGGGTTGGCCCAATTAGGCATATCAGTAACCAAATATGCAAATGTAAGAATTTATCTAGTATGTAAATAGCAACGAACAACATGTAAAATATAACTTTTATTATAGTAAAACCAAATGCAACGAAGAATCACAATTTAAAGCGCAATATGACCCTCACAAAATCAACTTCATATAATTAATTAACTTCCATAGAAAATCATAGTCAATAACGATAATTCAATTCTTAACACACAAGCAATAGAAATCACAGTTTCAACCAGTCAGATGGAATTGGAGATGCACCACATTTGTCTCGATCGACATTCGCCAGGTCAACCTTCTTCGAAGCTGACGGCCCAGCATCACTCAATCTTAAATGTAGCGGTTTGACAAAACCAACTCGTGGCCCATTTGCATCGGCATTTGTTAAATCAACCTTCTCTGGAGCTGAAGGCCCACCAACATTCAATGTTAAATCTAGAGGCTTGACAAAGTCCACATACGACCCATTTGCCTCGACGTTTGTTAACTTAACCTTCTTTGGAATTGGAAGTCCAACAACATCCCGTCTTAAATACGAAGGCTTGACAAAACCGACACATGGCATATTTTGCTCGACATTTGGAACATCAACCGCATTTGGATCTGAAGGTCCAGCAACATCCAACCTTAAATGTGATTGATTGATAAAACCCATTTTTGGCCCATTTGTTTGGATATTTGCTAAAGTTGCCTTCTTCGGATCTGAAGGCCCAGCAACATCAAATATTAAACTCGAAGGCTTGACGAAGCCCACTTGTGGCCCATTTGCCTCGATGTTTGTAGGACGAATCTTCTTCGGTGTTGAAGATCCAACAAAGTCCAATCTAGAGCGTGAATGCTTGTTAGAGCCCGTTCGCGGTCGATTGGTCAGACCACGACGCAAGTTATCTCTAAGATTCTCCATCTTTTCTTTTAGTTGCTTGAGTTGATCGAAATCAAGCAGATTCAACTGCTCTTCGGAAATCTGGCACGACGAGCCCTCCAACGTTGCTTCGATTTCTTTTCCTCTTATTTTTCTGATCTCCAACTCTTTGTTCTTTTGATCGCATTGTTCTTTAAGTTGCTGCAGCGTAGCGGAACGGATCCTCGTTGCATGAACGGAATCCTGCACATTTGGATTGCGATTTTTGCTCCGAAAACGGTCTAACACGGATCCGACACTAGGGTTGCCAAATGAATAGGCCCTGCCACCAAGAGAGAAAATTATAAGGGCGATTTGAGTTCCGCAAAGAACGGAAAGTTCCGTGGCTTTCTTGAAAAGCCCGGCCCGACGCTTTGAGAAAGTGACGGTTCGGGCATTTTCATCGGATATCAATTTCATTTCAATCTTTCTTCGACCCTGTGATTTCTTCCTTCCTTGTGGAGGAGCCATGTGCGCTGATGATATCCAATTGAAATTCAAAAATTTCAAGAAAGATTGTCGGAGATACCGAGGGAGGTTGAAAGATTGGGGGATTGTAGGAAGAAACGAGACACCGAAAACTCGTATTAAATAAGGATTTTTTGGTGCATTAAATATAGCAAGACAATTACTACCACGAATCCTCGTTGTAATTACCATAATAAGTTCAAATGTTTGAAAAATCTGGTGCAATTCAATGCAGAGGCTTCACACTCATTAATACATTGCGAAAAAACTTCCGTCCGGTGGTGGTAACAAATGGCAATCGAACATTGCACGACCATCGATGGTCGTCCAATAGCACATCGACACGTGGCAAGAAGATGACACATAATTTGAAGCAATTCAAGAACAAGTCCATTTGTCAATCCAATACTGCTGGGCTTTTTGCTCTTGTTTTGGTAGTGCATATATCAGAATTTTTTTGAGTTTTAACCTCACTCAATTTGTTGTACTCTTGCACGTGTGTATAGTAAGATATTAATGTGGATGCATGGCAAGAAATCTATTGTTGCAACATGTGACAAATCTATTGTGTATGATGGTAGCACCGTGACAATATGTGCACTAATGGAACATTTTCCTAATCATTAAGACTTAATTTGATGAACAATCTTGTTCTTCATGCTTAATATATCATATCTTTTGAAAAATCGACTAACTAAAATTAGATTCTAATTAGTAAGATATAAATTAGGATATTTTAAAAGTTAGTTTGTTCATTTTTTACTAGTCATCAATATTCAATTTTGAGTTTAGCTTATCATCTTATATATATAAAAAAAAGAAACGTTGGGCAACCCTAATGATATTTCTGTAATTAAATATTTTTAATATTTTTTTCTCTACTAATTTCTAACTATAATTTTTAACAATTATCAAAATTGATAAATTCCGAAGAATCCTATCTAATGATACTTTTGTAATTATTTATTTTTAATATTTTTTGTGTACTAATTTCTTAACTATAATTTTCAACAATCATCAATCTCCTGTTTTTCGTCAATATATCTCAAATCTTAAGAGATAAAGATATAAATTCGATTCGTTATTAATCTATATATTTGAATTATAAATCTTAATATGTCAGATTTAAAAAAATCTAATGTTATATAAAGTATTAATAATACAACATATTAAATTTTACTATGTTTGTATACTATATTTTCTTATTATGTATTAAATTAATTATTTTTTTTTCACTTTTGAAATAATATCTTGTGCATCGCACGGGAAAAAATGAGTATTATATAATTTATTTAATCAAAGTAATGTATAAGGGTTTATTTATTTTACGGCTATGTATTTGCTCCACTTTTTTTTTTCTTTTTTTCTTTTTTTTTAAATTCATGTATTATTATTATTACAAAAACCCACTATAATGCAATTTTGTTTGGGAAACTACCCCAAAAAGCTTACAATTTACGGAGTTGTGTGCTAAAAATAATGTATTATGGGGAGATTTTGCTAATATTAATAATGCTATACTTTAGTAATTCGATATAACACGAGATTACTAATAAATAAAATCTAATTATATATTATATATATATATATATATATATATATATATATATATATATATATATTAAGAAAGTCAATCAATACATCTATATAATATATAAATTGAAACCTTATGGTCTAAAATTACGACATGTGTCATCCATGTCACCATCCACGTAGGCATCCTAATCATCCACCATGTGTCACTACATATATTACATATATAATGTCTATTTAATCATAATTTCCCATAATGTGATATTAGATTATATCATTTTCTTAATATCATAATGCTATAAATGACATATTTTATGAGAATTACATATTTACTTAATATTATATATAATGTCATTTAATAATTATTAAAACAAATTAATCATATTTTATATTTTATGTTTTAATTGATACAATATATGTCTGGCGGAGCTAGGATTTAATGATTTGAAGTCCGCGTGGATGAATGCATTAAAAAATTTACGAGGGCTATTAATGTAATCGTACATGATTTTTTTTTATTATAAAATAATAGAAATTTGAGAAATGGGGGAGGGGCATGACCCCCTTGGCCCTATGGTGGCGCCGCACCAACTTAAATCAAAAGAAATTTTCTTATAAATTATACTAAAATTAAATTAGTACTTCACCGGTGCGGTGCACGAGGATATTCATCATGAAAACAAATATTTGATTACAAATAACAATCATCGGAAAAAAAAAAGTTTAAAATAATAAGACTGGGTTGATATGCAATACAAAGTAGCAGAAAACTAAACTAAGAAAATGATTATGTTTGGTGTAAGGAATTAATTAAGTCAAAAGAGGTGAAAAACGATAAATATCGAAGAATGAAATTTCGTATAAAAAAACGAATACATCCTTGGTCCATTGTGTAGAACCATAATGCCCAATTAATTCAAAATTTTCATTTGTTCAAATTTATTATTAAAATCGTGTTTCATAATAACTTTCTTAAGTTCATGTCGAATCAAATAGTTCAAGATAGAATACTTGAACGAAAAACTTTCAATAGTTGATATATACTAAGAGATATCCAAAAAAATTAAAAATAATATTTGTTTCATTCGATTGAAGTACCGAATTAAACAAAATAAATAAATAAAGAAAATAAAAAAATAGGAAAGTTGTGAATAAAAAATAAGCTACATTATCTGATGCAAAGGGTACAACTATCTCGTCTAATGTGCTCGGATTGACTCAACAATAAAGACATAGAATAGGCGAAACCTATTTTGGAAATTGGCTCTGGTTACCAACTGATACAAACCTCATATAATTTGTTACGAAACTCGATACCTTATGTGGAACCAAGATCTAAACACCCAAAATGAAGGAATCAAAGGGTTGGAACCGCGACCTGTTGCTTATAAAGAAGCAAGAATCTTGCTATGTAAAGACGCCACAATCAACTGTGAAAGATTGATTAATAAGTCGGGTGAACGCACAGAATTCTCCAACATGTTCGAAAAGTTCTTAAACAACTAGAGAGAGTAATCTCAATATTTTATTCAAAATTCATCCATCAAAATACCAAATTAGTAACCTATTTATAAGTACTAAAAATACTTTTTTTTTTTTCACAAGGAAATAACTCCTACCTAAACTATAATAAGCAAACTTCTAATTAAGATAATTACAATCATAAAATAACTCTAAAATAATAAAATATCATACATCATAAAATAAAAACATGCATAACTAAATTCAATAACTCAAACTTCAAGTCGACTTCACAATCACTCTTCTAAACTCACGTAGACAATGTGCATGTGCATAAACTTGAAGCACGATTACAACATTGTTACACTTTGAATCTCTCTCTGCTCAAAACTTGAAAGGTTTTTATCTGAACTTCCAGTTGACGTCAGAGGAGAGAGTTATATATCGAATGGTAAAGCTCCCAGAAACATACAGGAATTTTGGGATGCAACGAATTCAGATTGTCCAACGAATTTTCCGCTTTTTTTTCTTCCAATCCCACACCATAGACTCTTCAAGAACCTACAATGAGGCCATATCGGATACCGATATGGGACATTGACTTAATACCATGAAATTCCAAATGGACTCCATGTAATCCGACAAAGTATGGACCTTGGTAGATCCCCCAGGGAAAGAGGTCCCATAAGCTGCAAGTGGATCTATAAGAAGGAAATTGGAGTGGATGGAAAGGTATCGACCTACAAACCTAGATTGGTATCAAAACGATATACTCAAAGACAAGGTGTTGACTATGAGGAAACTTTTTCACCAGTTGCAATGTTGAAGTCCATTAGGATTTTGCTGGCCATAGCTGCGTGATACGACTACAAGATATGGCAAATGGATGTGAAGACCGCTTTCCTTAATGGAGACATTGAAGAAGAAATTTACATGGCGCAGCCGCAAGGCTTCATATCATTTGGAAATGAGAAAAAGGTTTGCAATCTCCAGCGATCCATTTATTGATTGAAACAAGCATCCTGTAGTTTGAACATAAGGTTCGACTCAACTATCAAAGAGTTTGATTTTGAGAAGAACCCGGAGGAACCTTGTGTATACAAGAAGTTTAGTGGGAAGGAAGTGATATTTTTGATGCTTTATGTCGATCACATTCTACACATTGGGAATGACGTAGGGGTGTTGCAACAAACTAAATCTTGGTTGTCCACACGTTTCTCAATGAACGATTTGGGAGAAACATCTTACGTATTGGGAATACGTATCTATAGAGATAGAGCTAGGAAGATGCTAGGCTTATCCCAAACTCTGTACATAGACACCGTTTTGAAACGGTTTAGCATGGAAGAATCAAAGAAAGAATTCTTGCCAATATCCCATGCGGCTCGTCTCTCGAAATCCATGTGTCCTCAGGCACCTAGTGAAATCGAGAAAGTGAAAAGGACGCCATATGCTTCTGCCATAGGAAGCATAATGTATGGCATGCTATGTACTAGACCCGATATTGCATATGCCGTGAGTGTCACATGCAGATATCAGTCTAACCCCGGTCCAGCTCACCTCAAGTACTTACGAAGGACTAAGGATATAATTTTGGTCTATGGGGGTGTCAAGTTGAAATTAGAAGGCTTTACCGACTCTAGTTTTCAATCGGATGTGGACGACCAAAGTCGAACTCGAGATTTATATTCACGCTTAATGGTGGTGTCGTGTGTTGAAAGATTTCCATGCAAAGTACAACGGCCGATTCTACTACGGAAGCTAAGTATATTGAAGCGTCTGAAGCTGCAAAAGAAGGGACTTGGATAAGGAAATTTATCCAAGAGTTGGGTGTTGTTCTTAATGCTAATGATCCAGTACCGTTGTGTTAGAGTAGGTGACCAACAAGCCAACTTGTGGCTGTGGTTTTTCCATTTATTATTGTAATAAACAAACCTTTTTCATATTAATGATAAAACACCTTGGCATTCTATATCTTTGTCCCTTTGTCACAAGCATAGATATAGTCCTTACAGTTATTAAAAGTACTAGTAATTGATCGTTAGGATCGTGATATATTTACTTTAGTATTATAATTGTTAAACGTGTTCCTAGTCAAATGGTTACGCCACCAATGAGAATATCGGCCTTTCCCATTAAGAGACTAGCACTTAGTGCATGTACTGCATCTCATCAGTAAACGGTATTGTGATATCGGCATGCATAAGTGGGTGCTCGTAAGTTGACGAGTTCACTGAACTCCCTCACACTAGAAATCTCTAAGTGGTTCCCAATAATCGAGTAGAGATATCTATGGTATAGTTGTACACCATTAATCCTTATGACCTAGACATCACCGTGACTTCACTAGAGGACCAGCTGTATCGTGACCTATCCCTGAGTTCCACTGAGGACCACCCCAAGGGCCAGTGTTCGTGCAGTTCGAAATCTAGTTGGAGGTCTGTGCATTGTAGTCGGGGATTCGATCGCTAGAATTGTAATGCCCAATCATCCATACATGGCCAATAATAAGCATATTGAATCAATGCATATAGTTAGAATTCATTATTCATGATGCATGATCGCGACTACTTGCTACACATCTGCCTTAATTGTGTTTTAATACATGGTCGAATACTTTTCTTAAAATGTGCTCATACATGATACATGTTATTGAACTTCTACTTTATGATTTAACATGAACTT